ACACACTATACAAAAAAATTGTTTTTTGCGACGGCAAACGCCGTCGCAAATAATCCAAACGCCGTCTCAAAAGCTATTTGCGACGGTAAATTTTTTTTTTTGCGACGGCAAGTGGGGTCGCAACAAGGGGGGTTGCAAAAGACCTTTAGCGACGGCACTTGCCGTCGCCATTGTTTTTGCGACGGGAATATTTCTTTTTTGCGACGGCAAATATCTTCGCCGATAGTGGATGAAGATCTGGCTTTTTTGCGACGGCACAAGCTTTCCGTCGTTAATGAGATTTTGCGACGGCAAAATTCCGTCGCAAAAATGCCGCCGCAAAAATGTGGCGTTTATGACTATTGGCGACGGCAATTTCACCGTCGCTAAAGCCTTGTTTCTCAAATAAATTCACACCTTTTGCGACGGTATGGCTGCCGTCGCAAAAAAGCCTGGCACAGTTTTTTTTTTTTTTTTTTTGCGACGGGGTGTTCTGCCGTCTCAAAAAAAAATTAAAAAAAAAAAATCCCTGTTTTACAATTATTTAAAATATAAAAATAACCTGTAATGTTGGCAAATGATATAATAATATAAATACATAAAAAAATAACTAATGTTGGCAAATGAAAAATAGCTTAAAAAAATCAAAAAATGACATAATAATATAAATCCATACATAAACAAAAGTTGGCAAATGATAAAAATTCCTAATGTTGGTCACATAATACATACATAATGTTGGTCACAAATTTAAATAACATAAATCAAAATCAAAACCAAAAGTTTTCGTCTTGATTCATTCGTGAGTTACAAAAACAGAAGTTGGTCATAATCTTTACGGCCCACATTCAAGCGAAGCAAACTGCTACTCAGGAAATATCTGAAAAAAACAAAATAAAAAATTATAAACAATATAATGGTGGTAATATTTTAATTACAGAAAAATATAAAAAAAATTAACACTATATATAATTAGAAAGATAGTTTAGTGAAATCCGGCTCAACTCCCAAACGGGAACCCGATTCGAGCCCCGTCTTCTCCACAAGTCTCTCGTGCCTAGGCGGTCGTGTGTGCCAAGTTTCTGCTAAACCGACGCCGTTTGGTGATTTTGGGGGTTAACTCTCGAATTCAAGTTTCTAAAGAACTAGTTTGCCTAAGTGAAATCCGGCTACTTCCAAACCGGGAACCCGATTCGAGCCCCGTCTTCTCCACAAGTCTCTCGTGCCTAGGCGGCGTGTGTGCCAAGTTTCGTGCAAAACCGACGCGTTTGGTGATTTTGGGGCGTTAACTCCTCGAATTCAAGTTTCTTAAGGAACTAGTTTGCCTAAAGTGAAATCGGCTCAAACTCCCAAACGGGAACCCGATTCGAGCCCCGTCTTCTCCCACAAGTCTCTCGTGCCTAGGCGGTCGTGTGTGCCAAGTTTCGTGCTAAACCGACGCCGTTTGGTGATTTTGGGGCGTTACTCCTCGAATTCAAGTTTCTTAAGGAACTAGTTTGCCTAAAGTGAAATCCGGCTCTAACTCCCAACGGGAACCCGATTCGAGCCCCGTCTTCTCCACAAGTCTCTCGTGCCTAGGCGGTCGTGTGTGCCAAGTTCGTGCTAAACGACGCCGTTTGGTGATTTTGGGGCGTTAACTCCTCGAATTCAAGTTTCTTAAGGAACTAGTTTGCCTAAAGTGAAATCCGGCTCTAACTCCCAAACCGGAACCCGATTCGAGCCCCGTCTTCTCCCACAAGTCTCTCGTGCCTAGGCGGTCGTGTGTGCCAATTTTCGTGCTAAACCGAGCCGTTTGGTGATTTTGGGGCGTTAACTCCTCGAATTCAAGTTTCTTAAGGAACTAGTTTGCCTAAAGTGAAATCCGGCTCTAACTCCCAAACCGGGAACCCGATTCGAGCCCCGTCTTCTCCACAAGTCTCTCGTGCCTAGGCGGTCGTGTGTGCCAAGTTTCTGCTAAACGACGCCGTTTGGTGATTTTGGGGCGTTAACTCAAAATTATGCAAAGATACATTTTAGCTTAGAATGCAAAGATACATTTTATACTGATCTTCTGGTGGTGGTGTATATGGATTCTCGTCTTCTGCAGATTCCCTAAATGCCCGGTGGCCACTCGATGCATCAGGAACCTATGATAGTCAATACATAATGTGGTAATCATATTCGAATTTATACATAATCTTGTGTAAAATTGAACTATCAAACAATTTAATTTATATCGAACCGTCTGTTGGGATCCACACTTGCCCCCTGTGACACTAAGGCCATCATCTCAGCTCTCATCTGCTGTAAATGTGTAGAGAACTCGCTCGCAGCTCCTCCCTCAACTCATCCCTTAGCTCTGCACGAACCTTCTGCGTGATCTGATCAATAGTCGATGGCTGGGGTGTTGATTGTGATGGCCCAGCACCATCTTTATACACCGCTCTCCGAGGCACAATTCTCCCGTATGTGCGACAATATCCATGTCCGTCATGACCTATCAACTCATGGAAAATGGCATTCCTAGCCTCCAAAGTCCGACCATCCTCAGGTAGCATAGAGAGTTGACGATTAAACTCATCCTGTATTGAATAAGACATACAAGTATATGCCAAATTAAGATGGTTGACACACAAAAAATAAACTTTAAATACAATCAAAGTGTTTGGAAACTACCAAGGTCTGAATAACCTCTGGGTCATCTACTCTACTGTCATAAAGCCAAACATTCATCTTATCAGTAGACTCCCCTTACTGGTCATCTGCATTTTTTTAGAAATATGAAAATTAGAATGTAAATAATTTGTAAATATACAATGTTTATTTATATACAAAAATAAAACAATAAAATGTAAACCTCATGCCGTATCTGAGAGAAAGTAGTACGCCCTGTGGTATGAGCTATGCCGTGAGCTCGGATTTTTAGCGTTCCTACTTGCGATTTTCTATAACAGGTTCGACAAATGTGAGTATGTAAATATGATTTGTATGTTTACATATCATAAATATAACTTATTTGTATACCTCAGCATCGGAAGTACCAATACTCCACAAGTTCTTCCCACTGGCTTGGCACAATGTGCATAGGAACATCATCCTTCAGATTAGGATCAGAACTTCTAGGCTTGAAATACTTAGCCTTAAGCTTGTTCTTGTGATCCTTCCTATGCTGTTGAGTTTTTCATGCAGATTGGCTTTACTCCTCTGGAATATATTCAAATTGTCCTATAAAACACAATTTCAAAGTTTAAATAATAATAACACAATTTTGGAATTCGAATTTGTGGACAAAATATACTTTTACCTTCACATCCTTCCAGATAGCATCAATAATATCATCAGGCACATTGTTCCAGTCAAGAAAAGTAAGAGGAACAATGTTACCATTCCGCACAATAATGCCAAGTTGATAGTTAACTTAGCCACGTTTTCCCTATTGGGCAGTAATTTCCATCAAATTGTATGTCTAGCTTTTTACCAGTACCCCACTCTTTAATGCCCTTGGCACATCTTCTACCACGCCTAGTCGAGGTTGATGAAGAACTAACATGACCTGTGAGATAACATAACAATAAACAATATGCATGGTAATAACAAATGCAAATTTAAATAATGTGAATACAAATCATATCAAATAAACCTGAGGTGGGCTGTGAAGAAGTCGAAGGGTCTGCAAAATACAATGAGAATAAACAATTATATATAATGAGCATAAATAAATGTATGTTTAAATAATTTTCATACAAATCAAAGCAAATTTATATACCTGCGGATGGCTCATAAGCTGATGATGATAGCTGCTGTGGTGGCACTGATGGTGGACGCACCGATGGTAGGGTGGAGGCTGAGTACATGGTAGCTGCTGTGTGCCACTAAAGGCCCCTCCGATAGTGGCCGATGTGATGCCTCCTCTGATGGTGGTGCTACTGATGTCCTGTTATGTGCACATCAGACATCATGGCCCGGGGATGATCAGGCTTCCTCTTCCTTCCATAATAATCTGCAAGCAATATAACATTAATTGACATTAGAAACATAGACAATGGTTGTCGTCAACTATAATATGACATTAATTGAACTAATACAATTACAAAGACAAAGTAAATTAAGAAATTGATGATTAACTACAACCTTGGCCTTAATTGAATTACTAATGTTTCCACCATATCAGCCTATTTTGAAACTTGGCACACACGACCGCCTAGGCACGGGAGACTTATGGGAGAAGACGGGGCTCGAATCGGGTTCCCGGTTTGGGAGTTGGAGCCGGATTTCACTTTGGGCAAACTAATTCCTTAAGAAACTTGAAATCCCCGGCGCATGATGTCTGATGTGCTACATAACAGGACATCAGTAGCACCACCATCAGAGGAGGCATCACATCGGCCACTATCGGAGGGGCCTTTAGTGGCACCACAGCAGCTACCATGTACTCGGCCTCCACGCCTACCATCGGTGCGTTCACCATCAGTGGCACCACAGCAGCTATCATCATCAGCTTATGAGCCATCCGCAGGTATATAAATTTGCTTTGATTTGTATGAAAATTATTTAAACATACATTTATTTATGCTCGTTATATATAACTTGTTTATTCTCATTGTATTTTGCAGACCCTTCGACTTCTTCACAGCCCACCTCAGGTTTATTTGATATGATTTGTATTCACATTATTTAAATTTGCATTTGTTTATTACCATTGCATATTGTTTATTGTTATTGTATCTCACAGGTCATGTTAGTTCTTCATCAACCTCGACTAGGCGTGGTAGAGGATGTGCCAAGGGCATTAAAGAGTGGGGTACTGGTAAAAAGCTAGACATACAATTTGATGGAAATTACTGCCCAATAGGGAATAACGTGGCTAAGTTAACTATTCAACTTGGCATTATTGTGCGGAATGGTAACATTGTTCCTCTTACTTTTCTTGACTGGAACAATGTGCCTGATGATATTATTGATGCTATCTGGAAGGATGTGAAGGTAAAAGTATACTTTTGTCCACAAATTCGAATTCCAAAATTGTGTTATTATTATTTAAACTTTGAAATTGTGTTTTATAGGACAATTTGAATATATATCCAGAGGAGTACAAGCCAATCTGCATGAAAAACTACAACAGCATACGGAAGGATCACAAGAACAAGCTTAAGGCTAAGTATTTCAAGCCTAGAAGTTCTGATCCTAATCTGAAGGATGATGTTCCTATGCACATTGTGCCAAGCCAGTGGGAAGAACTTGTGGAGTATTGGTGTACTTCCGATGCTGAGGTATACAAATAAGTTATATTTATGATATGTAAACATACAAATCATATTTACATACTCACATTTGTCGAACCTGTTATAGAAAATCGCAAGTAGGAACGCTAAAAATCAGCGAGCTCACGGCATAGCTCATACCACAGGGCGTACTACTTTCTCTCAGATACGGCATGAGGTTTACATTTTATTGTTTTGTTTTTGCATATAAATAAACATTGTATATTTACAAATTATTTACATTCTAATTTTCATATTTCTAAAAAAATGCAGATGACCAGTAAGGGGGAGTCTACTGATAAGATAAATGTTTGGCTTATGACATGTAGAGTAGATGACCCAGAGGTTATTCAGACCTTGGTAGTTTTCAAACACCTTTGATTGTATTTAAAGTTTATTTTTTGTGTGTCAACCATCTTAATTTGGCATATACTTGTATGTCTTATTCAATACAGGATGAGTTTAATCGTCAACTCTCTATGCTACCTGAGGATGGTCGGACTTTGGAGGCTAGGAATGCCATTTTCCATGAGTTGATAGGTCATGACGGACATGGATATTGTCGCACATACGGGAGAATTGTGCCTCGGAGAACGGTGTATAAAGATGGTGCTGGGCCATCACAATCAACACCCTAGCCATCGACTATTGATCAGATCACGCAGAAGGTTCGTGCAGAGCTAAGGGATGAGTTGAGGGAGGAGCTGCGAGCAGACTTCTCTACACATTTACAGTAGATGAGAGCTGAGATGATGGCCTTAGTGTCACAGGGGGCAAGTGTGGATCCCAACAGACAGGTTCGATATAAATTAAATTGTTTGATAGTTCAATTTTCACAAAAGATTATGTATAAAATTCGAATATGATTACCACATTATGTATTGACTATCATAGGTTCCTGATGCATCGAGTGGCCACCGGGCATTTAGGGAATCTGCAGAAGACGAGAATCCATATACACCACCACCAGAAGATCAGGTATAAAATGTATCTTTGCATTCTAAGCTAAAATGTATCTTTGCATAATTTTGAGTTAAAGCCCCAAAATCACCAAACGGCGTCGGTTTAGCATGAAACTTGGCACACACGACCGCCTAGGCACAAGAGACTTGTGGAAGAAGACGGGGCTCGAATTGGGTTCCCGGTTTGGGAGTTAGAGCCGGATTTCACTTTAAGCAAACTAGTTCCTTAAGAAACTTGAATTCGAGGAGTTAACGCCCCAAAATCACCAAACGACGTCGGTTTAGCATGAAACTTGGCACACACGACCGCCTAGGCACGAGAGACGTGTAGGAGAAGACGGGGCTCGAATCGGGTTCCCGGTTTGGGGTTGAAGCCGGATTTCACTTAGGCAAACTAGTTCCTTAAGAAACTTTGAATTCGAGGAGCTAACGCCCCAAAATCACCAAACGGCGTCGGTTTAGCACGAAACTTGGCACACACGACCGCCTAGGCACGAGAGACTTGTGGGAGAAGACGGGGCTCGAATCGGGTTCCCGATTGGGAGTTTGAGCGCGAATTTTCACTTTAGAGCAAACTAGTTCCTTAAGAACTTGAATTCGAGGAGTTAACGCCCCAAAATCACCAAATCGACGTCGTTAGCAACGAAACTTGGCACACACGCCGCGCCTAGGCACGAGAGACTTGTGAGAGAAGACGGGGCTCGAATCGGGTTCCCGGTTTGGAAGTTTGAGCCGGATTTCACTTTAGGCAAACTAGTTCCTTTAGAAACTTGAATTCGAGAAAGTTAACACCCCAAAATCACCAAACGCGCGTCGGTTTAGCATGAAACTTGGCACACACGACCGCCTAGGACACGAGAGACTTGTGGGAGAAGACGGGGCTCGAATCGGGTTCCCGTTTGGGAGTTTGAGCCGGATTTCACATAAACTATCTTTCTAATTATGTAGTAGTTAATTTTTATATTTTTCTGTAATTAAAATATTACCCCACATTATATTGTTATTAATTATTTTATTGTTGTTTTTTTCAGATATTTCCTGAGTAGCAGTTTGCTTCGCTTAGAATGTGGGCTCGTAAAGATTATGACCAACTTCTGTTTTTGTAACTCACGAATGAATCAAGACGAAAACTTTTTGGGTTTTTGATTTTGATTTATGTTATTTAAATTTGTGACCAACTTATGTATGTATTATGTGACCAACATTAGGAATTTTATCATTTGCCAACTTTTGTTTATGTATGGATTTATATTATTATGTCATTTTTTTTGATTTTTTTAAGCTATTTTCATTTGCCACATTAGTTATTTTATTTATGTATTTATATTATTATATCATTTGCCAACATTACAGGTTATTTTTATATTTTTAAATAATTGTAAAACAGGGATTTTTTTTTTTAATTTTTTTTGAGACGGCAGAACACCCCGTCGCAAAAAAAAAAAAAAAAAAGACTGTGCCAGGCTTTTTGCGACGGCAGCCATACACGTCGCAAAAGGTTTGAATTTATTTGAGAAACAAGGCTTTAGCGATTGAAATTGCCGTCGCCAATAGTCATAAACGCCACATTTTTTGCGGCGGCATTTTTTGCGACGGAATTTTGCGTCAGCAAAATCTCATTAACGACGGGAAAGCTTGTGCCGTCGCAAAAAAGCACAGATCTTCATCCACTATCGGCGATAGATATTTGCCGGTCAGTAAAAAAGAAATATTCCCGTCGCAAAAACATGGCGAGGCAAGTGGCGTCGCTAAAGGTCTTTTGCAAACCCCCTTGTTGCGACCCCCACTTGCCGTCGCAAAAAAAAAATTTACCCGTCGCAAATAGCTTTTGAGACGGACGTTTGGATATTTGCCGACGGCGTTTTGCCGTGCAAAACAATTTTTTGTATAGTGTGTTAAGATATTTTTTACCTTTATCTGATTGTTGGCGCTCATTTTTTTTAAATTTTTTTTAAAAAATGTTTATATTTTTCAAATGTGACTAAATAAAGCCCTGGGTATTTTTTATACGTAGTAATACATGACAAAATATAAGAGTTAATACATGACACATAAAAAGTTTTAATAATTTTTTTTTCAAATGTAATATTAATGCATTTTTCAAACATAGCCCCTTTTCCAAAACGTGACTAAATAAAGCAATAAAAAAGCTCTTAGAAGCATGTTTTGTTTTGAGGGATTAAGGGTATGAGATTGAATTATTAGCTCCACCGAAGATTAGATCCATTGTTTGTTTGCAAAAATTTTTGCTTGCGGACTAATAGTCCCCCTCGACTATTAGTCCCACAAACTATGGACTATTCTTCCCATGGGGGGTGTGGGATAGAAAACGCATGGGATTGGTATCCACTATAGGCATTATTTTGGTGAAATGTTCCATTTTACGCCTTTCCATGCTATTACTCAGTAAATAATTAGAAGGGTAAAATAGTCTTTTGAACAGTTATAAATTATTTTTTTAGTGTTGTTAATTTAAAATTAATATTAATAAAAAAATTAAATTATAAATTATAAATTTAATTTAATTAAAATAAAAATTAAAAATGTATGGCCTATAAATTAATTTTTTTTTAGTGTTGTTGAAAATTTAATTTATATATTAAATAAAATTATTTTTTTAGTGTTGTTAATTTAAAATTATATATTAAATAAAAAATATAAATTATAAATTATAAATTAAATTTAATTGAAAATAATAAATTAAAAATTATGGCCTTATAAATTAAATTTTTGTAGTGTTGTTGGAAATTTAATTTATATATTAAATAAAATTATTTTTTTATTGTCGTTAATTTAAAATTATATATTAAATAAAAAATATAAATTATAAATTATAAATTAAATTTAATTGAAAATAATAAATTAAAAATTATGGCCTTATAAATTAAATTTGCAAGGATAGAATAGTCTTTTGAACATTTATCCTTATCCAGTCTGTCTAACCAAACATTGGATTCATTAAAAATAGTCCAATCCAGACATCTAATCCCATGACTAAACAAACATAGGATACAAATTCAGTTCAACCAAATAGTCCGGGGACAATGTATCCCGGGACTAACAGTCCGATGAATTACAATCCTCCCTTATCCAGTCCGTCTAAACAAACGCACCTTTAGTGTACTTTTTTTAAATATGACTAGTGTATTTTTCAAATGTAGCCCTTCTAAACGTGATTAATACAAAACAAATAAAAACACCTTTAGCCTCCGTTTGGGAAGTGGGTTGGCTTTTTGGCTTTTTGGCTTTTTGGCTATTTTAGCCTGGGCTATTTCCAGACATTTAATCGCATGACAAATCAAACATAGGATACAAATCCAGTCCAACTAAATAGTCCGGGGACAATGTATCCCGGGACTAACAGTCCGATGGATTACAATCCTCCCTTATCCAGTCCGTCTAAACAAACACACCTTTAGTGTACTTTTTTTAAATATGACTAGTGTATTTTTCAAATGTAGCCCTTCTAAACGTGATTAATACAAAAACAAATAAAAACGCCTTTAATATACTTTTTTTTAAACGCGGCTAATGTATTTTTCAAACGTAACCCTTCCAAACGTGGATAATACAACAAATAAAAAAAAAATTAATATTTTTTTCAACCGTGAAACATGGCCAGTGCATTTCTACACGTGGCTCTTGGTGCATTTTCTAAACAGGGCTAATATAGAACAAATAAAAAAGTTTTAGGGTTGGTTTAGGGTGTTCTAAAAAAGTGTATTTTTTGTCTTTTTATGAAAAGATGTGTAGAAAAGTAGAGAGGTAATGTGATGAAAAAAATATAAAAAGATAAAAAGATGGATTATATAGATTATGCCAAACGAGGCCTTAGTATACTTTTTTTTGAACGTGACTAATGTATTTTTCAAACGTGACTAATACAGTAAGTCACATGAGCAATTGTGTCAATTTCCATTCAATGGGACTTTTGTATGTATTAAAATAAAGGCCAAGTTTGACATAACTTAAATAATGCAAAAAGTTAAAAAGTCACTATCCTATTTAAGTCACATCATCTTATTTAAATCACATCACCTCTCTAACACATCACATCAAACCCAACCCATATAAGCCAATAAGTCAAAAAATGTACTTTTTTAGAACATCCCAAACCAACCCAAAATTGGGACTAATTGATTCTCAAGTTTACCTTTTGAGATTTATAGGTCAATCACCTAAAAAAAAAATTCATGCTTGAACCTTCTAATAAAATAATTTTTTAATTTTTAATTTTTAATTTTATCAATTTAAATTATAATTTTTTGATTTATTTTCAATTTAAAGATCATTTGAACGGTAAAAAAAAATGATAAATGACAAAAATATATATTAAAATATGTAAAAGTTATAAATTAATTAATTTCACCTTTTATTCCTGAGCTATTGTCAAATTTTTTACTTAATTATTAAACTATCGATTAAATTTATTAAATCCTTAAAATATATAAATCAATGTCTATTTAGTCTTTGAAATATCAATTGCATTTATTAAGTTTTTAAAATATTTAATTCAAAACTATTTAGTCTATGAAAAAATTGTAAAAATAAAATATAAGCTATTAGTATTATAAATTAATAAAAAATCTTACCTAGTTAAAATCTTATTATAGAAAAATCATGAATTTCTATTATGCCTTTAAAAGTATTTTTGTTTCAATGTGTATTTAGTATCAAAACATGATTTCTTAGTTTTGTCAATAAAATTATATGAGTATTAAATATATTGAATAAGTTGAATAAGATAATTTAAATAATAACATAACAAAATAATATATTAATTAATTTATTAAAATATTTTAACAAAAAACTTAAAGATAATAAATTATAAATTGTAAACAAAATCTGACATATAAGAATAGATAAAGATTATCAAGTAACTATTATAGAAGATAATAATAATAATAATAATAATATAAATAATTACCCTTACTCTTATAAATGAAAGTGTCATGCCAAGTAATCAATAATATTTTATTTCATCAATGAATATTGAATTTTAAATAATATGTTAGAAATATAAAGTTATTAAATACATCCAATTTAATTAATAGGTTAAAAATAGAACTAAACTTAAGATAAATTAATACACTATTAAAAATAGAAAGTTATTAAGCTCAAGACAAATTATTAATATTAGCTTAAATGAAATTTAAGAAGAACGCTTACTTTCTCAAGATAAAATAGTAATTTAAGATTTTTCTATAATAAAATCTTAGTTAGGTAAAGTCGTTTAATAATTTAAAATATTTATGAATTTATATTTTATTTTTATAATATTTTAAAAAATTAAATACTTTTACTTATTTTAATATACCTTTGTAGATTTTGATTTATATATATATATATTTTAAGGATTTAATAAACTCAATAATAGTTCAATAATTTAAATAATTTGACAATAATTAAAAGGTAAAAAATGAAATAAACCCATAAATATATAATTAATTTTCATATAAATGTGTATTAAAATTTCAGTTTTTAAAATATATAATTAGTATTTGATTCTTTTCCACGTAAAATTCGAAACAATAAATAATAAAAAATCGATGCCAACATTGATGCGTCAAAAATACGCGCTCGATTCTGCATAGTATTCCCGCTCTATCATTTTCCTAACGAGAACTCGCATATGGAAGACTATCCCACCACACCAATCATACTCCTAAAATCCTCACCGTCAGATAAATTCAAATCATGATCCTATTAAATTACAACATGTCAACGGACCAAAGTGAGACCTTACTATAAATTCCACGCACCCAATCACACCCAAACTCTCCATCTTATCCTCTGATTTTCTCTGTTATATTTTCTCTCTCTTGTCTATATAAACCATCACCCTTTCTCTCTTAACACACCCATACCCCCTCTCAACTCTGTGACTCTCTCTGTGTTTTCGATTCATTCTCTCTCTGTAGCTTAAATTCCGGCGAGTCTAGGGTTCCGGCGAGTATATTTACGATGGGTTCGTCGTTGCTGCCAGATCTGGCGACGGAGATTGTGATTCCCGTATGCGCGGTGGTCGGAATCGTATTCTCACTGGTCCAGTGGTTCTTGGTCTCTCGCGTCAAGGTCTCCGTTGATCGGAACGGTTCGGCTCCGGCGAACAACAAGAATGGCTACAATGATTACTTGATTGAAGAAGAGGAGGGTGTCAATGACCACAGCGTCGTCGTTAAGTGTGCCGAAATCCAAAATGCCATATCCGAAGGTGAGTCTGGAACCCTAGATCTCTCGTGATTTGTGTCAGATCTAGCTGCGTTTTTTATTCGGGTTATAGTTATGTAGTTTGGTAATGGAAGGTGAAAGTTTGGATCTTTCTATAGATGTAGTGTGTGTGAATGAAAAATCGAACCTTTAGGTTTAATTTTGAATAGATAGAAAGATAAAGATGAGTGAAATTTTGAGTTTTGTGTTTAAATTCAACCAATCATTTTGTTTTTGTAGTGGTAGTCAACTTTCTATCTTTAGTTTACTCGGATTTGAGTTTACTCCGATGGCCAAACGCAAATCTGATAAGTGGCGCAATTGTAAATGTAGAAGCTAATATATCAACCCAAATTGTCTTTAGAAATTTGAGTCAAAAAATGGGTTTCCCTTTGATTTGGGTCAAAATTTGAGAAAACTTCATCTTGGTATGAGTTTAAGTGAAGGAGTGGAGAGAGATTTTGAGCATTTTTACTCAAATTTAAATTTGATACGGGTAAAGGGTAAGGATTGGAGATGTTAAAATTTCTGTTATATACTAGAACTTTATTTTACAGCGTTGATTGCGTTGAGCTCATGTACATGAGTTGGCTCAGATCTGCTCTTATTTGTTTTTTGTTCAGCGCTTTTTAATTGTTTTTTAGTTTTTTATTTGTGGGGTTGACATATGTTATGCAGCCTCATTAGAATTACTGGTGGAGGTATTTATTTTCGTCCTATCTGAATAAGGTTCTATGTCTTTTATGCATTTGATTAATTATATTGAAGCTAGGGTGTGCCAAGCACGTGTATTGCTTGTGAAGAGTAATCTAACATATGGCCATGCTTACTAGTCAATTCTAAGAATCCTTAGCTTATTTGTTTTTACTGTTTATGGGTGGAGTATATATTATTACAAAAAAAAAGGTTTGTATTAGGCTATTAACTAAGCTGATATATCACTGGGATGATGGATTAATTATCTTGTTATATATCAATGAAGAGCAGCGGGTTGGTTGATGCTATTAGTAGTGGTAGAAACACGTGACTAAGGGGTTAATGTAAGACAAGATCTGTTGCATGAAATTTCTTATTATTTATAGTGCTAAAAATTACACGGTCCACCTCCACATTGATTACAATTGTGACATTTTGTTTGTATGGGATTTTTAAAAATATGCTGCAATACTCACCCCTTGGTACTGTCGATCCAATTGTTAATAAAGAATAATGTCCAAGGAACACATCGTACCCAAAGTTGGGTGGCTTATTCCTACTAGACCGTCTGGACAAGCGATTTGTTCTGACCTGGATTTTATTTTTAGGGATATTTTAATGAATTTGCATGGGGTCCAAATGGTGTATGTATTTTGTTTCTGATTGTCAGATTTGATCCACTAAATTTTCAAAATCTTTATGTTCGTTTTTTCTATTTTTTATTCTTTTACTTTATTATTTTGTGTTGCCCTTTCTATAATCTTCTAATTTAAGCTCTAGGTTATAATCTTTATATTGGTATACCCTGGGTTTGTTGATTGTTTTTTGTGCTATCTCTAACCTGCACTATTGCTGTTCAAAGTCATGTCAAGTATTATGGGATCTTTTGTGATTCCTGTGGTTTGGTTTTATTATTTATGCTGCCACACAATTGTTACCCTTATTTTGGCTTTTTGAATCTTTATAGCTTGTCATTTGCTAATTTGTTAAAATTATTATGCCTGAATCTAACAGGTGCAACATCCTTTCTATTTACTGAATATCAGTATGTGGGTATTTTCATGGTTGCTTTTGCAATATTAATATTCCTTTTCTTGGGCTCTGTTGAGAGTTTTAGCACAAAGAGTCAGCCTTGCACCTATAACCCTCATAAGATGTGCAAGCCAGCACTTGCCACTGCTCTATTCAGCACTATCTCCTTTGTGCTTGGTGCTGTCACCTCAGTTGTGTCTGGTTTCCTTGGGATGAAAATTGCAACCTATGCAAATGCAAGGACAACTTTAGAAGCAAGAAAAGGTGTTGGGAAAGCTTTTATCACCGCATTTAGGTCTGGTGCAGTTATGGGTTTTCTCCTTGCTGCTAATGGCCTCTTGGTCCTGTATATTGTCATCAATCTCTTCAAACTGTATTATGGCGATGACTGGGAAGGACTTTTTGAGGCTATTACTGGTTATGGTCTCGGTGGATCCTCCATGGCTCTTTTTGGGAGAGTTGGTGGAGGTATCTACACTAAGGCTGCTGATGTTGGTGCTGACCTTGTGGGGAAGGTCGAGAGGAACATTCCAGAAGACGACCCAAGGAACCCAGCTGTGAGCATCTTTACTCTTTTGAATTCAAATTGTTACTTGTTTATTTTGGTGCTTGTTGAAATCAGGGATGTCTTTATTCGTGCAGGTGATTGCAGACAATGTTGGTGACAATGTGGGAGACATTGCTGGCATGGGGTCTGATCTTTTTGGTTCATATGCTGAATCGTCTTGTGCTGCACTTGTTGTGGCGTCTATCTCCTCCTTTGGAATCAATCATGAGTTCACGGCAATGTGTTATCCCTTACTTATTAGTTCTATGGGCATCCTTGTTTGTTTGATAACCACCCTCTTTGCAACTGATTTCTTTGAAATCAAGGCTGTCAAGGAAATTGAACCAGCATTGAAAAAGCAGCTCATTATCTCCACTGCTCTAATGACCGTGGGAATTGCAATAGTTACCTGGGTTGCAGTGCCATCATCCTTCACAATTTACGATTTTGGTGCTCAGAAAGTTGTGAAGAACTGGTAAGCTTCACCTTTATATGCTTTGGATCCGCTTAAAAAAACAAAGAACAAAGATAGAAGAGTGGAAAAAAGGGGAAAAGGAGGTATGCCTACTCGTATAAGTCGTTTGTATTAACTGTATTAGTATGACACCGTCTTTTAAAGTATAAGCTCTATCCAGGCCTGTAGGTCCTCATAGGCTATCGCTTTGCTTATCAGCTAATCATCCAGATGACATAAATAACTTTGGATGTCATTTGGCTATTCGTTTATGTAGGTTAGGAGGATACTAAATATTATGTTGTCATCCTTGGTTTGAAATCAATCTTCATATAACATTCTGGTTTTTGGCAAATTGAGAGTTAAAGTATTGAGACCTGTCAATGACTGTTATAAGCAATTATAACATAGTAAGGCATCATATATTTGCCTGTATCTGTAGATTAATTCAGTGTTGGACTTTAATTTACTGTATTGGTTTATGTGGACACATGGTTAGTTGAATGATAGATACTCGTACACTAGTTTGGATCATGACAGAAAAGTATAGTATTCTAGATTAATCTTTCCTTGGAGAATTCAAACCACCAATTTGAAGAGCTTGAAGGCACACATTACATCAGTTGCTTAAGTCTGAGACTTGTAGTTGATTAACTAGTCTTTATTGGTTTTGCATACAACTTTAGGCATATAAATTTGTTGAAAAAATGTCAATTTGGTTTGCAGGCAGCTGTTCTTGTGTGTTGCTGTTGGGCTTTGGGCTGGACTTATCATAGGGTTTGTGACAGAGTACTACACTAGTAATGCTTACAGGTATTTCACATATAAATTTACTGCCTTCCTTTCTTGACATGGCTTGAACTTTCCTGAATCATTGCTTACATTTTTTTCCTTCTTTTAATTAATGTAGTCCTGTGCAAGATGTTGCCGATTCCTGCCGGACTGGAGCTGCCACTAATGTTATCTTTGGCCTTGCTTTGGGATATAAATCTGTCATCATCCCAATCTTTGCCATTGCAATCAGTATTTTTGTTAGTTTTAGCTTTGCTGCTATGTATGGTATTGCAGTGGCTGCCCTTGGCATGCTTAGCACCATTGCTACTGGGTTGGCTATTGATGCTTATGGCCCTATCAGCGACAATGCTGGAGGAATAGCTGAGATGGCTGGCATGAGCCACCGAATCCGAGAGAGAACTGATGCCCTTGATGCTGCCGGAAACACCACTGCTGCCATCGGAAAGGTATTAAGAGTGTCCTATTTGGTTAAAACCATACAGGTCCTGGATGTTGATGACATGATTTTTTTCTTTCACAAGTGATAGGTTTTGAATTTTCAGGGTAAATTTCCCTTATGGTTCCAAAATGGTTGAAGGCCTGAGTCGATCATTTTCTTAATTGAGCTTGTACCGTTTTTACAAAAATTCAGCTACAAGCTGCTTCGATTGCCTTAGCCGGTGAATTGATTATCATGAGCACAGCAGTATCATTTATATTCTTTGCGTTAGAGCTAAATCTGAATTTGTGCAGTTGTTTCATCTTTTACCATTTTATGCTTGTTGCCAATTGTTATTGAATTTCATTTTACATTGTTTCTAGGGATTTGCTATTGGATCTGCTGCACTGGTGTCATTGGCACTCTTTGGTGCATTTGTGAGTCGTGCTGGAATTTCAACCGTTGATGTTCTCACCCCAAAGGTCTTTATTGGGTTGATTGTTGGTGCTATGCTTCCTTATTGGTTCTCTGCCATGACCATGAAGAGCGTGGGAAGTGCAGCTTTAAAGATGGTTGAGGAGGTACGAAGACAGTTCAACACCATTCCTGGTCTCATGGAAGGCCTTGCCAAGCCTGACTATGCCACGTGTGTCAAAATCTCTACCGATGCTTCCATCAAGGAAATGATTCCACCTGGTGCCCTTGTCATGCTTACACCCCTCATTGTTGGAACCTTTTTTGGTGTTGAGACGCTCTCTGGTGTTCTTGCTGGCTCCCTTGTTTCTGGTGTCCAGGTAATTTAAAAAAATAGAAGGCATAGCTGCAAATTTGAGAATGACTTGCTAGTTAGGTAATTCAAGATTTAACATTATCACTCCAGGTTGCCTACCTCAAAAGACAGACTAACACTACATTTCAATTATGTGTGAAAAAAAGGAAAGATATGATTGGTTTTTTGACTAGGTGAGAAAATAAAGAAATAGTTGTGTTTTCTCACTCTGATGTTTGGATGGGGAAGAAAGCAAATATAGGGATATGGATGGATATTTTGGTATTTTAATGGGCAATCTTGGTTTTGTAAAAAATACATAACCGATCAACTTGTTTCTCACCAAATCTTGCCACTCTTGGCGAGAAACGGAACTTATATATAATAAGAGAGTTCACTTTCTCATCATTTCTCACCTAACTTGTAAACCAAACATTCACTTGGTCCAATCTGAGTGTAAAACAGATAGGAGTGGTATGATAATTTTGTGAGGACTCCTACAATGCTTTTATCTATTTTAGTTTCTGAATACTAACAGTTTATGTTTACCGATTGTGTGTTTAACAGATAGCAATATCAGCATCCAACACCGGTGGTGCATGGGACAACGCAAAGAAGTACATTGAGGTAATAATCTGGTTAAAGCGTTCATTTTGTCATAAAATTATTATGTGAAGATTTTGCAGTAATGTTATTACTTTTTAACTTTTTCTGCAGGCTGGTGCCTCGGAGCACGCAAGGACCCTTGGTCCAAAGGGATCTGAACCACACAAAGCAGCTGTGATTGGTGACACTATTGGCGACCCTCTTAAGGACACATCAGGCCCATCACTCAACATTCTTATCAAGCTAATGGCAGTTGAGTCGCTTGTGTTTGCTCCCTTCTTTGCCACTCATGGCGGCCTGCTTTTTAAGATCTTCTGAGGGGAGATTTTACGTCTACCTTGTAGCAGTATCTCTTCATTCTCACCTAGTTTTTTTGCGCATCTCTCACAAATTCTCCCCCTGCATCTATATTCTTCCCTAAGCGTGGGATTTTTAAGTTAGGTAGAGGCATTTTTTTAAAGAGCTGATAATGATGATGATGATAATTGTGATGGTAAGGATGACGCTGCAAATTGTCAAATTCTTATCAGATGAGAGTTTTAAGATTGTATGTCCTAGTTTTCTTCACGGTTTCTAGAACAGCTTGTTTTTTTAATTTTCATTGTAATGGCATCTTTTTTTACTCAAGGAAGAAGACATGGACAGAATAGATGCTTAACATTTTCTAGTTCACATTTTTTTTGAGTTCATGAATGCTTTTTGGAGGTTTTACCTGTGGCTACGGTTTTCACTGATCAAGTTTGGCCAATTTCTTCTTCTTTCCCATTCGTTTGCCCACTTGAGAATAATCTTTTTTGTTTTTTGCATTTTTTGGTAGCTCTTAAATTGTGTTCTTGTTTTTGTTGGTGTTGGAGATCATATATGATAAGCTATATTTCTTTTGACATGCAATTCAGCATGGATTGGAGGATTGAGATGCTCCAATGTTTAAAGTCATCTCTTGTTGTAGCTTTACTAGTTTATGAAGATCAATCAATGGCCTCTTAAGGGATATAAATGTCTTTAATTGAAGGCAAAAAGGACAAAAGGGCGAAAGGCCAAAAGAGCAGGACAGCTAAGGATGTGGAATAAAGGCATATATGCATTGTAGATATGCTTCATATTATAAAGCATCCATGTAGACAAGAAGTAGAATGCTTTCCTTGTTTTTTCGCTTTTTTGGTTTGGAGAGGTTACTTTTTCAAAGTGAGGACAGAATAAATTTCAGATATGCTTAATCATACACAAATCGAGTGTATCAAATCAGATCGAGTACAGCATGGAATTGCTGAACTGTAACATATGTTTGGGAAGAAAAAAAATAGCCTAATTTAGGTTAAAATTCACAAAAAGACAAAATAGGCTAAAATAGTTAATAAGACAAAATATCACATCAAACCCATAATCATTTCACTTTTTTTCTCACAAACATCACATTCAACCACAAAAAAATCAAATCATTTTCCCAAACACAAAAATTTTAGCCTACTAAAATAGCCAAAAACTAAAATAGCCACTTCCCAAACGAAGCCTATATATGGGTTTATTTGAAGAGTGGTGATTTAGAGCATTAAATTTGAAGTTCTAAAAATATTATTAATGATGTGACAATGTAAAGAAAAAAAAAATAAAACAAAACAAAGTTCAAATTATCACATCAGTGGTGGGGTCCACATGATGCTATGAAACATTTTTCTTATTTAAAGATATTATATTCAAAATTTAAGGTTCTGTTTGGTACAGTTTTGAAACGTTAGTTTCAGGGCTTATTTTGTACATAGTGTTTGTTTACGGGTTTTAAAAATTAATTCTACACTCATTTTTGAAAATTGTGTCTAAGGCAGGAAAATATGGGCTAACTGGTCGTTTTATCGTCCGGCCAGTTTGATTTTTTTTTTTTTTTGGTGTTGCAATTAACACATTAATTTTTATATATTCATAAAATATATTTTTTGAATTTGTTAAATTTTTTTTATGAGATTTGAATAGAATTTTGAGTTGTGTGTTTGGCTATAAGTTATAAATTTTTGTATCAAATATTATATGTCACATTAAAAATTTCTCACTCAATTCAAAACTCTTTTCAAAATTCATTCATCAAACAAATTTTTCACACTCAAATCATAATTTCAAAACTCACAAATTCAAAATACAACTCTATTTTTAAATCATATTTAGAAAACTCTACCAAACGCAATCTAAAGTTTTTTTTTAGGTGCGTTTGGCGTAATTTTGTTGAAAGTTGATAATTAAAATTAATAGCACTCATTTCTTCATTTTTAAATATATATATATATATATATATATATATATATGTATAATGATGAGCCTATATAGAAGTTGAATGAAATAATTTAGTATAGATTACTAAAAAAAAATTATAATTAGCTTGTTTACGCACCCAACCCAAGTTTATTTGTAAATTTGGCTTTTAATAAAGAATAAATATACATTTACACACTCACGCTTATAGAGAGAATCCATATCAATAATGAACATAGGATATGACCAACACGGGAGGTTCTATTTGCACATCCCTATTCCCCTCACATAATAAAAATTAGATTATTATAATTTTATTTTCAAGTGAACACATTCGGAAGTTGAATGTCGAAAAAATGATAAAAATTTGAAATTCTACTTCCGAACTAATTGTTTATTTTCGAAATGCTACTTCTGAACCAATTATTTATTGAAAAAGATGTATATAAAGTGTAATATGTGTATACAAATAGAAACTCCCGACCAACGCACTCACTTTCTATAGGTGTGATTGCTCTTTGACAAATTACTCTCAAAATGTTGGATAGTATAATAAGCTCCTTAAAAAATCAATTGAAACAAAGTGCACCCTAAAAGATGTTGTAAAGTGCAATTAATCTCTTAAAAGTTCAATTAAAACAATTTCTCTTGAAGATATTCCCTAAAAGATTAGTTTGGGCAAATTGCTCCAAAAAAGACATTCAATAGTTCAATCGGACATCAAAGAGGTTAATTGGAAGGATTGTTTGGGAATTGTCTATTTGGTTGTTTTTTTGTGTGCTTATTTTGAGGCCTTTTCAAGCACACATTGATGTTCCAAACCATCAAAGTATAGAGCTCGGTAATTATGATTTTAAAAATCAATTATTTACATGAATGTGATCTGATCAAGTGGCTATTGATATAATGTAATTTTTTTAGAGCTCGGTAATTATGATTTTAAAAATCAATTATTTACATGAATGTGATCTGATCAAGTGGCTATTGATATAATGTAATTTTTTTACAAGGATTAAGTACTCAACGAGTCGTACACATTGAATGATTTGAATTGTCAAGACGGACTCAAAATGGGCCGATAATGAGCCAGATTTGACCGTCCAATTGGCTAGCCTAATTGAAGACAGTCTAAGCCCAATAAAAATGTGGTCCCATCACATGTCTCATAGGCAAAATTGCCATGTTACCCTTAAGGCCATGGGACATGTGAGGGTAAATTCGTCTTCCCATTAAAATGAAAAAGTGACTTTTTTCGTTCATGCCAAACGTAAAAATGATAACACGTGTCTTGCTTTTTGACTTATTGCTTATTAGCTTATATAACAACCGACTTATATAGGCTTCGTTTGGGAAGTCAAGTTTGGAGTTTTTTTAGTTATTTTAGTCACAAAAAATAAAATAGATTTTTTAGTCTAATAAGATAAAATATCATATTCAACCTATAATCATTACATTCTTCTTCCTCCTAAATTACTTCTGAATTTAATTTCATAGTAGCAATGAAGCATTTAGAATAACTATTGTTCAAATTTGTCTATTTTCACAACGCATCCCATACATGCTATTTCTCATGAAAGGGCCAATTTATTGGATTTGATTTGTTGATTAGACTAGAATTTTGATTAATTAATAGTTAGAAATTGATTTTGAAGTATTTTTGGTGCCAGAGTTTCATGTTTGTGTTTTATTCTTTCGAGATTGAGTCAGTAATTCTGAAATTGCCCTGGAGAAGAAAACACTGAGAAAAACACATTAACCAAATCAACCCATCATTGAACTTAAGATATTATATTTGGGTTTACTTTTCATTTCAAAGCTTATTTATATCATTGGACTACTTGTGCAAGTTTAATTGTAATTTTGTTAAGTTTTTCAGTTCAAGTTTTTAATTATTTATTTATTTGTTATATAATTAACTTCCAACCCATTGGTATAAACTCAGGTGAAATGTTATGATAGTTGATCAAGGTTGTCCTCTATGTAAACTCCAAGCAGCATTTGTTTTTGTAGCTGTGGACAAAAGTGTTTAACAACAAAAAAAAAATGTACTTTATAAAAAATAAAGCTTCCTAATAATCACAGTTCCCATCTCCGAGTCTTCAAAAATGGCTAATAGAGAGCGACCCCAACTAAGCCACATTTGTCACTTGTTATTTGTCTCATTCTATTTTCTCATAGGAAAAATCTATTATGAAGTAGATTCATGTACCTATTCATGATGAGCCTTATTTCTAAGAGGAATTACTTTACAGTGGTATAAATTTTTTTTTATACAAATATGATAGGTGCAAGATATCTTGTGATAGGGTGAAATTTAAATCAACAATGCTACGTAGTTCAAATTTTGTGGCTTAAAAGTGGCTCAAATGGCCAAAACGACGTCGTTTTGAGTACAGAACAACATAAAAATGACCAAAACGACGTCGTTTTGGCCATTTGAGCCACTTTTGAGCCACAAAATTTGACGTACGAGACATTTTCCAATTTAAATTTCATGAGATGCAAGTTTGACTTGCACCATTGCACTGTGTAGTGATTTTCCCTTACTTCTAGGTCTCAATATGCACCCATATCTAGATATATGTGGCTTATCATAGGGAAATTCCAAAGGGATGTACTATATACACTGTTATATTTTTGTTGGATTGAGTATAAAAATTAAAAATATCGTAATTCAGTTTGATCCAGACCAAATTGCCCATTATGATTTGGTTTTCTCAATGCACGGTTCATTTCTGATTTTTAAAATAGGTAAACTATATTTCACGATTTGGTTCGTAATCTTATAGTTATGAATCTAGTTAGAACTGAACCGGATCGTTTATATTATATATATTTATTACCGAATAAAAATATTAAAATATTTTACTAGTATCAAATATATATATACATATATATTATAACTTTCTATTATTATAAGTATATTTTTGTATAGTGATAGAACTAATTTTAAACAAGATAAAAGGACAGCCCAAGTGGTAAGGGACCCCTTTACAAGACTCTAGGTGTCACGCCCCGACATAAACACAATAACCTAACTACAATATTAATAAATGACAATAATAAGAAGGTAATTATCTTTCATTAATTTTCAATTAAGCTTACAATAGAGTAACATATGCAGATATACATTCATAAGCCTATCCTTGAATCTATAGCATATGTTACGTAATAGAATGAACATCAAGTAAAAATAAATGCCCTGGCAGAGGCATATCATCAGCACCTGAAAATAGTTTTCGCATATAAGGTGAGCCAAAACCCAGTAGAAATAATCTAACACAGTATATAAATCTTAACAAATATATAAGAGTGAAATGCATATGCAATACTAGTGACAAAACATTTTTTATCTCTTTCAAACCATACAATATCAGGTTTATATCACCATTCATGAAACATTTCCCTTTTTAATAGAAAACCAAACTGTGAATACAACTCTGTGAATCTCTACATACGTGTTTGTAAGTAGACTATGCAAGTACTACCAATTTGTCATTTTTACCGGTATTAATCGGAAAGCTCAACACCTATCCAGGTTTCTGATTTTTTACCAAGGACATCAACTTAACATTTTAACCACACCCCCTACCCAGATTCATTAAGTATTCACAATTTTCTCAAAATTATATACATTTTCAAAGTGATAATATGCAACAATGCCCAATACAAATGGATGAGAAAATAGTTGTAATTTACTTAATTCTCATGCAATTTTTACAACAATCATAACTATCCTTCACCGATAACTCAAAACAGATATCTCTAGACAATAAATAATTTTCATGAAGATAAACTTTCCAAATTCCAAGATGTGAGTGGTAATACATACGTAACTCCACCATCGTCATCAACATTAACCCAATTTCACAATTTTAACATCTTTTCCATTTATCGATACAAAATCAACATTTGAGATTTGTAGAGCAAAAACCTTTTTTCCTTTATAAACCATTTTTCCATATAAAATCCACCATTTCATCATATCTCGTTATACATATCTATCCACAGCCATTCCTAATAAACCATTTGAAAACCCTCATTTTGATTTCGAACCAAAACCCAAGATTGTTCAAAAATCCATTTCTTTTACAAAGTGGTTTTATGAAAACAAATAATTAAGTTAAAACTCATAAGGAAGTGTGGAAGATCCCTACCTCAAGCTTAGAAGGTGGAAGAGAAGAACTCGAAAAAACTTGATACTAACGAAATCACGAGTCACTTGGATCAAAAGGAAGCCCTTGAGACGATCTACAATCTATTTCAAAGGACCAAGATGAGAAGGTACTTCCAAGTGAGTAGATCTGAAGATCTAGGTGAGAAAAGTAGAGTTTTGAGAGAAAAGAGAGAAATTACGGTTTAAAGAGAGAAGTGAGAGAGAAAGAAAAAGTAAATGAGAAAAGTGTGTTTGGGGTCTATTCATAGTGATAGAATAATAACCCTAAAGTCAAAGGAAAGAATAATTCAAACTCCCAAAAAAGTAGAACCCAAAACCAAACAAAAAATCTGGAAATAACTCACAGGGGTTGACCATTGCCACAGTGGTGTCAGCCCTCAAGAAAAAAAGCTGAGATGCTAATATTTTGCAGCAGACGAGGGTCGACCCTAGGAGACAGTGATGTCGACCCTATTTTTCAAAACGCAACTCAGAACAAAACAGTAAGGGGAGGGCCAACCCTAAGAACTCAAGGTGTCGACCTTGTATTTTAGTATGTAACCTAGGACAAAGCAACGATGGAAGGGTCGACCCTACCAAGACTGGTGTCGACCGCAGAGGCTAATAACAGGGTAAGTGTCAACACCATGAAGATTGGTGTCGACCCCAAATTTTAGTAACTACACCAAGAGCACAGTAGCAAGATGGTGTCGACACCACTAAGGCTGGTGTCGACCCCCCGAGCAGAACAAAACAAAACAAAGAAAAGAAGGTAGTGTCGACATCACCAAGGACGGTGTCGACCCTCAAACCATAATCCAACAAGAAAAAAAGGAAAGACGACCGCTACAGATATGGTTTTTTGAATTCGAAAGCAATAAGTGGGTTGGGTCCAAGCCTGAATCGTTATACTAGGTCTGGGTTTGGAGTCTCACCGCCCCTTCCCCTAGGTTAGATTATATCTTTGTGTTGTAAATAATATAACATTATAAAAAGTAAAATAAAAAACGGAAGAAAAGAACTAGTTTTAAACAATCATGTGAATAATTCTTAAGTTGTGAATAATATTTTGTGATCATATTGAGAATAATGATAATATTTTTAAAATCTACAGTTCCAAACCAAACCAAACGTTCAGTTCGGATTGGTTCTAAGATTTTTAGAGATTGGTTTGGTTCCAAATTTAATGAAACCATAGGTAATGAATTGGTCTAGATTTACAGCTAAACCAAACCAATTCGAACCATGCTCACCCCTATATTTTTTTGGTGTATGTTATGTATTTTTTGATAAATATTACATAATTTTTTAGTAGAGTTATGACAATTTGTGATTTACAAAAGAAATTACGCATTTTGTAGTAATATTAATCTTTTTTTTTGGTAATATTACAAATTTTTTTTAGGGCAAGACTTCTAGAGATAAATGTTTGGGCCTATGGAGCTCATAACGGGTCCATTTCGATATTTCTAACCACTCATGTTGTTGGACCTTGCGTGTATATCATATCATCTAAAAAAAAATTAGGCTGATTTGTAATCCCTTCATTTTATTACATTTGTACCCAAAAAAATGAATGCTCTATTTTAAAACATATTGACCGTTAATTGCTTTAGAAGCAAATTCTATAAATGAAGGGGCTACAACTATTGGATTGACTTGAATTTCTTTAATAGATGATATACACGTAAGGTCTAATAAAATGCACGGTTCGGACCATTAAAATGGGCCCGAACAATCCTCACCAGTCCACATTACGATTAGAGAGAAACTAGTTCCTTTTTTTGATCCAAATATTTCTAACAAAAAAAAATAAAATGCGTAATTTAATTTCTAAATTACAAATTATCATAACTCTATCAAAAAATAAAAATAATATTTACCATAAAAATACTTAATGAAAGCACATATGGTAAACACTTAACATTACTCTTTTACCATATAAAACATAAAAAGATAAAAACCAAACAAACAAGTGATATATATTAATCCTCATTATATAGAAATTTATGAAAAGAAAAGGAAAATACATAAATATATAGAAATAAATACACCATATTCTATCGCGTTTCTCTCTTCCTAGATGTTTCCCTAATTTATTAAAATTCAGGATCTAAACATTGGTGAATAGTTTGGAGATGATACCTTTTTTTATCCGCAAAATAAGTAATATTTTATTAAATAAATAAAATATTATAAGAGAAAAAAAGGCATGAATAATATCAAAGGAAAGTCATATAGCTGAAACCTAATTGGATGCGACAAACATACCCATTAGGTTGGTAAGACACCAACAAACATTAACAACACTCCCATTACAAATTAAACTTTTGCACCCAATCTTTCATTTTCTTGGGCTTATTCAAACTTTCAATTTTTGTTTTAAGTTTCTCCTCCAATAGTAGCTTTGTCATGTTGTATATCACAAACCAATACTAAATTTTATTATTTTAATCAATAAAAATTTAATTAAGACAATACATTAATTTGCCCAAAGACCGCATTAGAATCTTCTATAATTTGGACCAAGTAGATCGATTACTATCAAAGGGTGCCGTTGATTGGCCAGATTAGGAGGACTATCGATTGTTAGAATTATGATTTGGGAGAAGTTTTTTATTCGGTGTTTTTTTTTTTTTTTCAATCTGTCGGACATGGAGTCCAACCGAACTCCTTATCCTCTATATGTGGGATTATACTATTTCGGGGGTGTGGGACAATTTTCATCGAACTTTTTACTGTTGGGATTAGGTGGTGAAATGACATTTTGACCATTTACTATTATTATTTTTTAAAATAAATTTATTTAAAATTTTAATTAAAAAAATAACATATATTTTTATTGAAATTTTATTTATTTAATTGTGTAAAAAATAAAATAATATAAAATTTTATTTAATCTAGCTAAAAATAATTAAAATATTAAAAATATGTTTAATATTGCCATTACTTGGTAAATAATTAAAAAAAGATAAAATAGTCTTTTGTTCATTTATCTTATCCAATCCGTCCAACCAAACATTAGATTCACTAAACATAGTCATTTCCAGACATTTAATCTCATGAGAAAACAAACGCAGAATGCACATCTAATACAACTAAATAGTCCGGAAATTCACAGTCTCAAAATTCAAGTCCGATAGATTCTAATTCCCTTATTCAATCCGTCCAATCAAACATACCCAAATTGTACTGAAATTTTATTCTAAACAACAGTGTAGTGGTGTGTAAATTTAAAATTAATAAAATGTGAAACATATCATGACGTAGACCATTGATTTTTTTTTTTTTTTTGAGTAATTTTCTGGTAATTTGATTATTATTTTTTTTATATTGTAGTATTTCTGAACCAGGAATGGATGGATGAGAGCCAACTGAAGCATTAGAAACAATACGTCAGCGAAGCATGGGATCACACAAATAGATAGGCATCATCAATTTCTTCGTTACCTGACTCGACTCTCAATTGTACAAAATTCGACAACTTTTGTTTTGATTTGTGTTCTGCGATGATGACAACGTAGCGTAACGTAAAACCCCATCTTATATTCATTCCTTCATCATCATTCCTATCCTCAATCCACCCCAATCTTCTTTCTTCCTCTCCTTTCCTATTTTCAGGTCTCTTTCTCTCTCCTTTTTCTTTTCATTTTTCAACTTTAAATACCACTCTTATGAACAAGATTTGAATTTCATTACTGGGTTTTTGCTTTTTCATCGAACCCTTTTTGATTTACAGTGAAAAATTCAATGGGTAGTACTTCATCAATGCTAACTCAATATGATATTGAAGCTGTTCAAGAACACTGTAACCATCTATGTGGGTTTCCTTATACATATATTTTTATTTTTTGTTTTTGTTTGTTTGCTTGTTGGTTCTGAATTGATCTTTTTTTTTTTTTGACATGGAAATTAGTTTCCCAGCAAGAAATAGTGTCTTTGTATAGGAGGTTTTGCCAACTTGATCGGAATTCCAAGGGTTTTATCTCAGCCGATGAATTTTTATCGGTACCTGAATTTTCAATGAACCCTCTTTCTCAGGTAGGCTATAGAATTTTGATTTTTAGATTGGTTTGTTGGTTTTTTCTCAATTCAATTTTTTTTTTTTTTTTTTTTTGGGTGTTGCACTAGTGTTTGACATTTTGGCTGCTCTGGCTTTGTGTGTCTATGCAGAGGCTGATTAAGATGGTGGATGGTTTGAATTTTAAGGACTTCGTAGCATTCTTGTCTGCTTTTAGTGCCAAAGCCAGTGTACCTGAGAGAGTCAAACGTAGGTTTTATAAGCCAGGATTGTACTCTATTTTCATAATTTTACTTCTGTGTTCATGTTCATGTTCATGAATTTGTTGCTTGCTAAATTGACATATTACACTATTTCTCACTATCAAATGGGTAAGAAAAGAAAGCATGTGAGAGAGGGATGACTGAGATTTATTTTTCTTCCTTCATATTTTAATGGGAAATCTCAGTATTATAAAATCTCACTATTTTTGGAGAGAATTGAAATAAGCAGAGTGAGAGAGTTTTCTTTCTCACCATTTCTCGCCTAATTTATAAACGAATTCTTATCATTTTTCACCAGATCAGCCCATCCTAATAGTGTTGATGTGGTTGTATTAAAGTAGATATGTGCTGGTGATTTTCAGTTCTGAGTAACGAGTCTAGAACAATCTGGACTAGGAACTAGCAAGATGTATTTTGATGTCAAATTTCAATTGAATTGATATGGATATCTATTTGTTCCGTTTGGTATAGAACTGAGTGAAAGCTGCAGGATTTGATATCGAAGGCAGTTGGCTGATGTGCATCATACAATCTCAATCGAAATGAGATTCGTTGAATCCAATTCAGGAGGGATATACTTGACTACTAAGACAAAAATAAAACCAAAACAAAAAACAAGATATTTATTTTTTGTTTGAATTTATGCTCTTTGGTATGGATTATACATCTTCTGAATAATTTATATCCTTTACTTGCGTATTGCTTGGTGTTATTAACATTAAAATGCCTTTATGTCTCAGTTATCTTCAAAGTCTATGATTCGGATGGTAATGGGAAGGTGACTTTCAATGACATATTAGAAGTGTTGCAAGATTTGACTGGCTCATTCATATCAGATGAGCAAAGAGAGGTACTACCACTGTTGTGCTTATTTGCATTCTTAGCTCATTCATATATACTTGTATACTTTGGTATTGTATCTCACTCTTAAAACATTAGTTGGGGTTCCATTTCAGATTTGCATAACATCATCGTTCTGTGTCATATTGTGTATTAATATTTTTGCTGTTTTATTTTCACCAGTGCACTCTTGCAATATTAATTCTAATGAAATGATTTGTTTTCATGTTACGGTACTATTACATGGGATGTTGAAAGCTTTAATGTGCCTTTCATCGCAGTTTACCATATGTTTTCTGCTTTATGTGATATTGTGATAGCCTCAATGGTTTTCTAATTTCTATGCATTTAACTTAATAGCACTTTTGCTTCTTCCATGTTTACAGAAGTATAACAAATTATACTGGACTTTTTATTTTCTGATTAACAGGAAGTTTTGTGCCAAGTTTTGAAGGAAGCTGGTTATACGAGGGACTCTACTTTACTGTTGGCCGACTTCATTAAGGTTCTTTATATACCATAAATGTTTTCTTCCTAAGAGCTAGTGTAATAGAGAAAAGTAAGCACGGTTAAGGGAAGAGATGAAAATACATTTGAAACCACTGGGGAAATATTTCCACCTATCTCCCTACACTAAAAAAGGAAGGCTTTCAACATTGTGACTACATTTTAGAGGCAGCAGGGATGGAGAAATTATGTTATAAGAAAATTTGAAATATTCTTGAACACTCTTGAAGTGCTTACGAGTTCTGTATGCTACAAGAGCACATTGAGGATATAACCAAATAATGCTACGAGGATTCTACCTGAAATTTTGTGTGAAACATTGGTTTTTTTTTCTTCTTCTTCTTTTCCCAAGACCTTCTTAGGCTACAAGATGTGCAATATTATTGGCTGATGCTGTCACAGCACGTAGAATGAGATCATCAAATAGGATAGCACCTTTAAGTCTCAGAATAATAATTGGAGGCGTTGGAGTCTCCAGTCTGAGCAGCAAATTATACTTGCTGATAATGCTTAAAGAATCTTATCCCAGCACTGTTTTATCCAATAAGAACATTTTTTAAGTGATTTTCAATCCTAGTACTCAAAAATAGTAGTTTTCTCAATGTCTTTATTGCACTTCCATTCAAAAATAAATAGGCATCTATCCTGCAATCCAATTATCTGCAATATATGTGGCCATTGAAATTGCATTTGGTATGCTATGATTCTTATTTCTTTCTTCTCATCTGCTGTCCTATATTTCACTACAATAAATAAACCCCAGTTTCACCAAAAGGTTCCATTTAATTTTATTTTTCAGAATTTGATGGTGATGCCTGTAAAATGTAATACACTGTTCATTCTTTTCTTATCAAATCTTTCATGATTCTTGATGTGTACTCGCCAAAGAACTATAAACATAAAAGGACATGGTAGGAGAAGAATTGGTCAAGCAACACACAGATTTTATTTTTGGACTTTAATCAGTGAAAAGAGTCCGATGATGAAGCCTAATTATTTTTAACCTTCCAAGGAATCGGTATAAGTGAAGAATTTTAAATGAAAGAAAATTTAGCTTCAAATCTTGTTTCTTTGATTACTTTTTTTCTTCTTTATATCTTTCTTATGTGTATCTTCATGTTGTTGCCTCTTTAGATTCTTGGCAAACCTGGGCTGAAAATGGAGGTTGAAGTTCCAGTTGACTAAGCTGAGCCTTGTGGTTCTTCTGTAATTTGACTCAAGATGAGCCTTCAAACCTGTATTATTTTTCTTTTCTTTTTTCAAAAAAGAAAAGCAGTATATATATGAATTAGAATAAAGAATAAGCAATGTGGAATACTATAAAAGTTGAGCTTATTTGTAAATTAGTCCTAGTTATGCCCAACCCTTACATTTTTGTAATGTTTTATGAGTTTTATGATAAAATGTTACTTTTTTGCCCTCCCAAAAAAAGTTGTTTGCAAATTCTTAGTTATCTATTCTCTCTTCGAGTAGCGTAGTGTTACGGGAGTAGAAATGTTTGCATCTTATAAATGTAATATATGAAATTCAGCTGCATATACTTTTCACTCCAGTTTGTTATAGAACTTTTCCCATTTTACTATGAGATTAATTGTATTTTCTTCAAATATAAGAGAGGACAGCCTAATTTACTCCTTTAAATTGTAAGAATGGTATACTTATATAATTTAAAGATAATTAATAATTAATACTAATATATTTTAAAAATGAAATCTTAGGACTTAGACCTAGGAGTGGAGTGATAAACGAACCAACCAACTCGAGCTTGGCTTGTGTTCGGCTCATTAAAAATTTGTTTTAGTTTGGTTTATTAAGGAAAAAAGTCAACCTTACACATTTTGAACTCGTTAAAGTTTTTCACCCAAACTTCAAGGGTGAATTGTTCATTTGGCTCGATTTGATACCTAAAATTATATAAAAATACCAAACTATTTAAGTTTTGATCGAAAAAAGCTTGTTTAACATTAGCTCGAAAGTTCAATAAATCAAATTTTAACAAATTTTAAAATTTATTAAAACTTTTAAATGAAACTTAAATAGTTAACTATTAGACTGTTTATCAACTATACTCGGCCACTCTAAATCCACCCTTGCAAATATGGTCTGTATCAGTTATCCATTGAAGAATTTAGTATTATTAATTTCATAATGGTCATGCCCTACCGCCACTCTTACTCCTACTCCATTAGTGCCACAAAAGAAAAGGAGCTTTTTGTAATTTGGTAAAAAGACCAGGCTCAGCTCACAAGTAAAACTTGAGTGCGACACGCCATTGAAAATAAATTGAAAATATAATAGAATATTTAAATTTTTTTTTAATTGAAAATATAAATAGAATATCTAAACAAATTAAAAATATACAGTCTTACAAATTATTAGAGATGCTCACGGTTTGGCAGTTCGATTGCGGCTAAAAGAATTTCAAATTTGCCATCCGTCTAAAATTAGGCAAATTGGAACAAATCAATCTGCAACCGTTCACTCGTTATCACGTATCCATCCAAAAAGCGGCGGATCAATTCAATTTAATCGATTTAGACAAATCAAAATATTCACTGCTCACCCATAATCTACCTGTAGTATTACTATTACCATTTAATGATAAAACACCATATAAGAAATAAATTTGACTATCAAAATATGATTACCCTAGCTAACTTATCTCATTAACTGGGACATCTACATAGTGGAGTAAATTACAAATACATAATAAATTACGGCCCGACTTCCCTCCAGTCCCAGATCAGACTGAAGGGTGCTGCTAGGCTCGCGTGGGCCTATCACAGGTCTCCTTTCGATAATCTGAATCGTTCAATTTGTGGAACTCGTCAAGTACTATATGCCAATAAACAATCATGTTGATAAGATCGGCCATTGGACATGGTTTTCTTGGTGATTTTAATTATTTCTTTTCCTTCAAAACAAGGGGATTTTCTTTACAGGGTGGGCTTCTTTTCAGTTCGTGATCATGTTAGAAAGTATTATTAGGCTTATAAAGGCCTATCACAAGTCTCATTTCGATAATCTGAATCGTTCAATTTGTAAAACTCGTCCAGTACTAGATGCCAATAAACAATCACGTTGATCAGATATTGATAACTATGTGATCAAATCAGTTTTGTATAAAAAAAAATATGGACGGCGAAAAAAGAAACGATTGACAGAAAACTAATCTGATGAGATAGTTATGAATATTCAATTAACGTGATTTTTTACAGGTATATAATACTCAACGAGTTCTATACATTAAACAGTTCATATTATCGAAACAAGATCCGTGGTGGGCCTCCACGGATCTAACAGTACCCTCCAATCTCAAATTGAACTGGAGGGAAGCCACTATCATAAATTATTATTGAATAATATCATATATTTACGGTGACATAATAACACTATTGTATATAGTAAGACAGGCTCCGTGGGGTAGATAGCCCAGTAACCCTCTCAACCCTCTCAAATAAGGATAGAGCTCTGCTTAAATGTAGCCAAATGCCTCCTACCTTCAGAGGCAAGCCGAATTCCAGTGCGGCATCTTAATCAATGGTAGATTTAACGAAGTCACTTATTAGTTACAATCTTAAATTATTATTACTATTATTTTTTATCATAATCAATAATAATAAGATAATAATTAGTCGGTTTGGTTAGTGAAGTAATTTGGTGATGAATGCTAAAAACATGATTGAATAGTTAGATTAGACCTCATATTGGGTCAAGTCAAATTTAAATTGACACATATTTTATTATTTGACAATAAAAATCCGATCTAAATCCCGCCTGGCCCAATTCAAAATTTGTGCACCCTTGATGCATAGCCAAGAGGTGGTGGCGTGGGGTAGGAGCCAGGGCAACGGATTAGGCAATGAAAGTCATCCCAAGTGTGGTTGAAAAAAAAATTTCAAATCTCAAATTCCTCCAATTAATACAATAAATATGAAAAAAATATGAGTTATTAATTTTTTATTTTGAGAAAATATAAAAAAAAAAAAGTAAAGAATAGAAAAAATAATTTGAAAATGATGAGGGGACAAGTCTTTCTTGCATGAAGTATCTGTACTTTCATTATTTTGTCTACATTCAATTTTTCTAAAATTCTACTCCGTTTTTGTTTGTTTGTTGTACTTTCATTATTTTGTCTACATTCAATTTTTCTGAAATTCTCCCCCCTCCCCCCTTTTTGTTTGTTTGTTTGTTGTGTTGAATGGATTCCGGGTTGGGTTGGGTTGGGTTGGGTTGGGCAGCTATAGGGCTGATGGTCACCAGTAGCATTTATTGAGACCTCGTTTGTTTGGTAAATTAGGTTAGATGTGATTACAAGTACGATAAGATTGAATGAAGAGATTATTAATATGATAGTATTAGTTTAGAATTATATGATAAAAAAAAGTGGAGAATAGAAAAAATAATTTCAAAATGATGACAGCATAAGTCTTTCTTGTATAAATTTATGCATGTAATATATGTACTTTCATTACTGTATGTATATATATATATATATATATATTTTTTTTTTGTGTTGAATGGAAATTGGATTGGGTTGGGTTGCGTTGGGTTGGGCTACTATACGATTGATGGCCACCCGTAGCATTCATTGAGGCTTCGTTTGTTTAGCGAATTAGATTGGATGGAATTATGAGTACGGTAAGATTGAGTGAGGATATTATTAATGTGATAGGATTAGTTTGGAAATGTATGATAAAAGGTGTTTGTTTGTGTACTAATATGATGATATTAGGTTGTTAGGATTAAATCTATAAAATTATGTAAACATCGTCATTGTATAATAATTAACTTTTTCATTTTTATAATGTAAGGACAAAATTATCTTTTCACATCTAATTCCATGGGATTAGATTACCAATCTCACTCTTTTCATAGGATCTGGGGTATTCATAGTCTCTTTCCATTTTTATTAACCAAACATAAGCTATGTAGTTGTTAGTTCAATCTCCTCATATGTGAAGCCAAACAACCAAATATAGACTATGTAAAACTCACAAGATTGTTAGTTCAATCTCCTCACCTACAGAGCCAAACATACCTTAGCTAATTACCAAACACTATGTACCTTTTTATTCTCACATATCTCAATACAAAATTACAAATTCTTCCCGACCCTACCAATCACAACACTAATAAAAATAAATAAATAAATAAATTACGATTGTCTCTTGTAGTTTGAAAAATTACAAATACTTCCATGTTAGAATTTTTTATTTAATACAATTAATTAAAAAAGTAAAATTTCCAACTGTTCACCAATACAATAATAAAATTATCTGAATTATTAATTGAAATAAAATTTTAACATTATTAAAAACTGTTAATTAATTTGATAATTTATTAATAAAATGACTTATTTGTTATGAAATTATAAATCTTAAAAGGCATAATGTAATTTCTAAAATTATAAAAAATAATTTATAATTTAAATAAATCTCAAAAGGTATATTTATAATTTACTCATAAAAAATTTAAAGTGTCAAACATGTTTTATTTTTAAATTGAGAAATGTTTAGAAATTTTTTTTTTTTTTTTTTTTGAGAGTTTCATGACTCTCAATTTAATTTTAACCTTTGATACGTATGTGAAATTCACTCATATATCTGTGAATCTCCTATGATCATACATGTACCACAATTATTTTAAATTTGACAAATTGTTTGGATTTGGAAGATGCTGTAAAACCTCTGCCCTTTTCAAAGACAAATGCTCCTCGAGTTCAAAAAAGAGACAAATGCTCCTCCTATCTGTCACCAAAATCACCACCACCACTCGTCCACTCCCATATATCATACATGCATTTGCAAAACATACCAGTAATACTAGTATATCCCAACCACCACCACTGCTCCGGCGACTTCTCCACCACTCGAACCACCCCAAAAACCCATCCATCAAAACCCTCAAACCACCCCAAACCCAAAAATCCCCAACCATGGAAGTCGAAGTCAAGGTCCGCCTCCCAGACTCCACCTCTCATCAGAAACTCTCCTCTCTCCTCTCACCCTTCCACACCAAAACCCTAATCCAAGAAAACATCTTCTTCGACGGCGCCAATTCCGAGCTCTCCTCCAACCTCGCCGTCCTACGCCTCCGCTTCTACGGCGGCGGCGTCGACTCCCACTCCGTCGTCTCTCTCAAAGCCAAACCCGTTATCTCCGACGGAATCAGCCGCGTCGAGGAGGACGAAGAACCAATCGATTCCTTTATTGCTCGCGCTTGCGTCGCCGAGCCTTGGCGGCTCTTATCGATCGATTCGTCGAGGGTGTTGAAGAGAGTGAGAGAAGAATTTGGGGTTGGAGACAAGGGTTTGGTGTGTTTGGGTGGGTTTAGGAATGTGAGACAAGTGTTTGATTGGAATGGATTGAAATTGGAGCTTGATGAAACACATTTTGATTTTGGGACTTGCTACGAGATCGAATGTGAGAGCTCTGATCCTGAGAGAGTTAAGAAATTGATTGAAGAGTTTTTGGCTGGGAATGGGATTAGTTATCGGAATTCGGAGGTTTCAAAGTTTGCAATTTTTCGATCTGGGAAGCTACCAAAGTAAGTGTACAATGCCCATTTTTTTGTGATTTTTCTTTCAAATTGTCTGTTTTGATAGACAATTGAGTGCAACTTCAAAGCCTCTCTTATAGATTTTGAATCATTGCTGTGTATGAGTTCTGTACACAATAAATTGATGTAATTAGAAGGAAAGTATTGATTATTGGTTGCGTTGTTACAATCTTTTCATTATATTTGGCACTAGCAATGAAACAGATCATGGGTTCTGAGTTTACAATCTGTTTTTCTCAGTAGTTGGGGCAAAATAGTGCTATGTTATTTGTCCTGTTTGTGGTCTTGTTCGGTGTTCAATTTGTGATGACTGATGTCTAATATTCGGAAAGAATTTGAACTTCAATCAAAGAATTTAGCTTTGCAAGTGGTCATCACATTGAAAGCATTTTAAAAATAAAAAAATTGAAATTTACAAAATTCCATTATGGTCTTCTTTGTTCTTTGCATTATGAGTGCTAGTATAGAGTGCATGAATTGGGTTTCTTTCATTGTAAAGAGTTGGTATTTATTGTCATCCATATCTATAGTGTATGTTTCTTCTTTATCTTTCTTATATACATGCATTGCTATCAAGTCTGATCAAAGTTTCTTGTTCTTCTCAAGGAATAGAAAAAAAAAGTTTCAAAATCATCTTGTGCTAGGGCTATAAATAAGCTGAGCCTACTAATGGGTTCTTTGAACTTGGTTTGAAAATTTGTTGAGCTTATAGATGCATTCAATGTTAGCTTCTTTATCTTTTGAACCGATATTGAATAAGTTTCAATCAAGCCAATCACAAGTCAAGTTGAGTAGATTGACTTTCATATTGTCCTAGAGTGTGTATACCTTTGTTGAGCCGGGCTCAAAATTTCACGAGCTTGAAACGTACCATTAGAAATATTGCATAAAGATAACCTAGTGATCTCCCCCAGGTTGACCAGAACAAACATCTTAAAATGCTTATTTTAGATATTCCATTGTTGCTTTTTTCAAGCATCTTGAAGTAAATTGTTTGATTGTTTCTGCTCAATGTCCCTTTCATAGAATGGTTTAGGATATAATGAATCGTTGGAATGCAATTTAAACCTTCTTTTAAACTCACATGTGGTGTTCCCATGGTTTTGATTATGAGACTAGAAAGAGGACAAATTGTTTGTTAAAACTTGAAATGAGGAGAGCTGTTTCTATTGACTTAGAATTATGAATTAAAGTGTGGTTGCTACAATAATAACTACGTGATTCCTTCTGAAGTGATGAAATTTTTGTACAAGTGATTCTAATTGAAAAAGAATATCTCGAGAAGGTGAGAAATATGTCCATGATCACGCGTTATAAAATGGTTATATTGCTGGAATTGTATTGACAAATGTACTGCCATTTTGTTTTTGGATGGCTTGAATGTTGAACACATGAATATTGTTCACTAAATCAAGTTCATGATTTGTCTAGTTTGTATGAATGGCCATAAAAAAAAATGTGATTCTTAACATGAAAGTCAGTTTACCAATTTGTGTTTCTAAATTGTCCACATCCATATTAAAGAATTGAAATAAGCACTGTTAACTTGTAACTTTTCCTAAACGTTGTAAGATTCAATTTACATGTATATATATTTGCAAAGAAAAAAGGATTTCATTTTGTTATAAAATGAATAAATGATTGATAAAAGAAACAATGAAGTATAGAGATTTACTGGCACCACCAACCTAAAGAAAAACATGACAAACTCCACAAACAACCTAAACAAAAACAAGACAAACAGGAAAAACAATTCCACAAACAAAAACAATACATCTGACACATTTGACAATTGGAAACACAAGAACATGACTACAAGCAACCATTAGTTAGAAACACCAGAACATGACTAGAAGCAACCATTAGTTAGAGCTATGTAAATTCTAAGCATCAATTGCCATATATTGCACCAGGCATCAAGTGCCATCTGCTGCACCATGTTGGTCTCCAAGCAAGCTCGCATGCAAAGTCATTGCCATCGACATCCATGAACTCGTAGGGAGCCCAAGAACAATAGACAGAGCTAACACGATGGCCTATTTTAAGTCATTTTTGGAGTGCCGCACCAAGTCACATACCAATTGAACACCATGTACTCAAACGCTAAAAAAGAAGAAAAAAAATTCCATCTTTGATGGGCATGATATTGACCTGGCTTCCTATAACTGTCTACAATGACTCTACACCATCTTTTTACTCATTCAGTTGCTTTGAAACCACTTTCGACTTAGAATATCATTTTTCATTGAAAAATATTTTTCACAACATGACCGAACTAACTTACCTACACATTACTAAACCAGGACACGACAATGAATAAATCAGGTTCTACCAATTTTGTATTTATAGTTTTTCGTGGCAAAAAGTATCAAACAAAATAAAAATGTTTTTTCATTTTTTTAATAATAGTGTTCAAGAGTTTTTAAGTAGTACAATAACTTTTTGGTAAATAAGGTTATAGTATTATCAATCAAATAAAATTTAAAGTATTACTATATATATAAGCTACTACATCATTACTTTAAACACCAATGACAGATTCTATTCAACGATCTAATCATCTTACAGCTTGATATCCATTTGATTCAACGAACTCATTATCTTACATGTTGATTTCGGTTCCACTGCTCATGTCCAACTTGTCTACATTTAGATGAACCCTAAATCCTAAATGGATGCTTAGGCAGAGTTGGTTATTGTTTCAATAATTGAAGAAGAAGGATAAGCGTCTTTATCATTCTCAATCCGTTGTAAGAAATTAATTTCCTTTGCTTTCTTCAAGCATAATTAATTTCCTGGCTTTGTTCAAGCATAAATCATACAAAATATCATGCATACGACATGGGTTTAGGATTTAGGGTTTTCAGTTCTACTACTCATTTCCAACCTGTCTAAATTTAGATGAGTAATAAGTCTAGATTTACCTGAACTAATAGAGCAGAATATGAGGTAATAATACAGTGAAGCGTCAATTCTGGTAGAAAGTACTCTCCTTTCTCTAATAATAAGGCAAGCTTGGGTTCCAAAGCCCCTTTATTGAGAGATAAAGCAATCATCACTCACTAGCTCTGTCCTAGCTTAGGAAAAAGATGTTTGGCGGCGAACCACTATCTCTTGATTGATGTGATCAGATGCTTGCTTTTTCTCGCGTGATAGATAACCACCACTACCAGCCCGACCCTTTTGCATGCATAACTGTCAGGTGGCACGAATTTGATGGCAGACACAATCTTGACAAGTTGTTTGCAGCACATGATAGTATAATCGAATTCATTATCTTACATCTTGATTTCGGTTCCATTACTCATGTCCAACTTGTCTAGATTGAGTAACATTTACTTGAACCAATGATAGTTAGGTTTACACCAATGAATAGTCTAGATTTTCTTAACCAATGATAGTTAGGTTTACACCAATGAATAAATTACTCAACCAATGAATGTTAGGTTTACAACCATGAATAAAATTTTCAAGGTTCATTACTTTTTTCTGGGGGTGAAAAACATTAAATGAAAAGTTTTATTTATTTATTTATTTTTTATTTTTTATAATTTTTTATCATTCAAACGTGTCAAATACTACTGGCAAAGTTGGATCTAGTTTGGGTTTCCTCCAATATACGACTCCTGCATATGATCTCCATAGACATGACTATGTTGAATTAAAAATGTTGTTAGAAACAAAAAAGAATTAACAAAGAAAATTTGTTTAGAAATAGTGAATTGCAATAACAAGATAGTGGCAATCCATCCCCCAAGAACTTGAAGGTAATTCTTGTAGAGGAGTCACCCACAAAAAGAAAAGGGAAAAGGGGTTTTTAAAATAAGAAAAGAAAGATAAGCATTTTTTGGAAGTTCTCTAACCAAACACGTTTAAGTCTAGTAATGTGGTAAATTGGATTGATTTGATATACAAAAATTCAACTTGTTCTTAGGAAAAGATCAAGAATTTTTGCTATTTTTAAACACATTTTTAAGTGCTTATTATGAGAAAGAAGCAAGGAAATTCACAACAAAATTGAAAAAAATTAAGAACAAACAGAATCTTGAAAATGAATTATTGAAATACACATCATTTAGAAATTTTATTTATTTATTTTTGAAAAATGAAAAGAAAAGGACAAAGAAATAGAGATGGGCATGAACTAGAAACATAACAAACCAATTAGATAGACCCCATAGAAGGGGAACAAAAAGTGACTTACAATTGATATCCTTGTAGCTTGATCTATCACTTTTAGCAAAAGAAAAAAGACATTAAACAGAGCTTGTTAATGCATTTGCCATGAATTGTTCATGTAATTTACATTTTATTTCAATGTTCATATGATTCATGCTTCTTGGTAATAAATTTTTTTCTTTTTTGATGTGGATTTTACACTCTTGTATTTCCCGTTCTTTAAAATAAAAATGTCACACTTACATGGGTGGCGCTAATGCCATGAATTAAAAGTTTGCTTCGATACAACTTTTATTGCAAGAACAAATTTTCCCTCAGTGACAGACTATTGACTCACCATTTTCACTCTCTTGCATCGCTATTTAGGGCTGGCTCAAGCGCGAGGCTATTGCCTTGGGCTGCCCTTGCCTCAATTTTTCTTGTCTTTGTATTTCTATTAACAGATCTTCATGCCAAAGCCAATTCCTCCTCGTGATAATGCATTCACAAGCATGGGCCATCACCTTCAGCCGTGGATCCCACCCCTCTCTCTGTCATTCATTGCCATTGCTCATTTCAAACCATTATCAACCCACAAGACAGAAATCTCTCTAGCCAATATGTTTTCCTTCTCCATTACCATCACTACCAGTACAATAATTACAATCATCGTATAAGAATAAGACAAACTACTTTTCACTACACAACACGGCAAATCACTTTTTACAACCATTTAAAGTAAACATAATATGCTGTTGGTGGATGTCCTTCAGTCAGTTTCTGGGTTTGAATCATCTTCTAACACGTAATAACCATATTAGTTTTTGTGCCATGCATACTGACAGAGATCAATGTGGTTGATTGGATGATCTCGATCTGATCTATTCTCTGATTGGGTTTGTGATTTGGTTCACTTCTTTAACAATAGCCGGGAAAAGTTGTCAAAGTCCTCTTCCTCTCTTTGCTTCTGTCCATAAAATTGACCCTGAGCCCTGTGTTGCAGGAACTAGCATTTGCTCACTTTCTTTTTTTTCCCATCAAGGATGTGAATCTAAAACCAAACCAAAC